CGGAAAGCCCGTGCAACTGGGGGGGAACAGAAAGCGTCCGCGGCAGCTCCTCGCCATGCCAGGATGCGATACAGAGCCACTGGTGTGTACTAACTCCGTTATTGCCGAGCCCCGAACCACAAACCGCCGCTGCTGGGAACAAGGAGTGCTTACCTGGGGCCTGCAGAAGGTGTTCGGTTTGAGGAAATCTCCTGAAAACTCTACAAAACAGATAATTACTTAGCAATAAAAGGCAAAGCAGTCCTACCATCTGTCTAACAGACGAGCCACTTCAGCTTGGGACTCCCATACCTCAGGATCATTGGGGAAAAGATAGCAAGGCAATGTTTATCCCCATTTATTTCCTTACTAAACTTGATCCTTACCTATTTCAGCATGGGCTACAAGTGTGGCACTACCGACAATGACAACAGGGACAACGAACCGAGCCCAGTGCCATTTAATCACCGAACTGCTTGGCTTTATTGGGACACCTGTGTCTGTGCACTGCAGGAACTTCTCCTGAGAAAACAAGGACCAGGTGCCCTAGTCTTTAGTGTTACACTACTGATCTGTTTGTTCTGTATTGCAGTATGGATGACAAATAAATATTTTTGACTGTATTCATTCCAAGATTATCTCAATAGGGAGAACCATCCAGGGTGCTGGGTCTCTGGGTTGGAGGAAGAGCATGCCACAGGCTGTGATGCTACAATATTAATGCTTAGCGCCTAACTGAGTGTTAGAACACCTGCCTCCAAGGTGGGAGAGAAGCATTCAAGCACCCATTACACCTGCAATGATGAGCAAAAACCTGTTGTATCACAGGAGGATTTCTTAAACCATTAAGCCCAGCATGCAGTTTCACACCTGGTTCAGTCCAGTTTCCACAGTCATGTTGCCCAGGATATCTATACTTATTTTTTGACAATGGTTAAGAACACAGGAAATCAAAACTTGTACAATGGCCATCAATTATTTTTTTCTCCAAACTCAGGTTCTACTAGTACCATGCTTGGCACACTCCTCAAAGACACATTCTGTACCTTAGCAGCAGTTTTAATGTATTTTAGAGATGACAGTCTTGGCTTAGAACAAAAACAATTTTATCTTGATCTAAGATAACTTCAGTATGAAGTTTTTTTTAAAGTCTTGTTTAGCCAGGAGGGGATTTCAAACAAGAAACATAAGTAAGTAATTTTTACTTACTCCTAGGCAGCTCTAGGCTTCATCCACCAATACTGGCCCGCCACATGTTAAAAGCTACCTAAACTTAATACCTTGCTGCTCTGCCACAAACCTTTTCTTGGGTCTTCGCAGTCAGACACTTGCCTCCAGCACCGTTTCATAAACCACACTGACCAACATCTCTTGGGAGATGGTGCAGCAGCATTTGCAGGGTGCCTCTTCCGTGTTGAAGCAACTTACACATTAGCCAAGTTCTCTCATCCATTTAAAATGTTAAAAAGGCAATTAAAACTAGAAGGAGAAATAAAAAGGTGGGGAGAGGGGCAGAAAGATTAGGGCTGCACTTAGACTTGTGCCTTCACACTGCAACAGAGGAGTGGGACATTTCTACCAAACTACCAGAAATATCAAGTTATTTATTGCTGTGGTGAAATCAGAAACAAGAATATTGTCAAGGACCAAAACTCAGCAAGAGGACTCACACATTTTATAAAACATGGACTGGGGTTGTTGAGGTGCATGTTTGTCTTGCTTATACAGCCTAAGCAGAAATAGAAGTGTACAGAAATACTCCTGTCCAAAGCTTGCTGAAAGCCTCCTCCCAATTAACACATGGTTTTTTTAGATCAATCTTTAAGCATTGAGAAAGCTACAATGCAAGAATGGAACTACAGCATTTTATTGCTCTCTTCCAAAACTGCATTTGCAAGTAAGTATTTTAACCAAAATTGTGCTTTCAGTCACACCTCTGTCTCTTCCGTATGCGTGGCTGTAAATAAGAACACTCTGACTCTCCAAGTGCTCTGTGGTCTCAGTATACATCTGTACTCAGCAATTTGTGGTATACTGTCAATCAACAACAGCAAGCCATCGAAGTGGCAGCCTGAGACTTCTGCCACTGATGTTTATGTATTTAAAAATAAAAATAAAAAAGTCTGACAGTACTTACAAGTTGTGAATAGCTGGAAAGTGCTGGGTGTAGTGCTTGTGTTACTTTTATCTCCCATCTTTCACCTCGTCCATATCCCCCTTGTTCATCACGTATCCCTTGCTTCTCACACCTGAATTAAGATGGTTATTTCTCTGAGGAAAAAAATACACCACCACACCACCACCCCCCCCCAAAAAAAAGAGGGTCTCTGTTTGCAAGGAGTTAACTTGGGGTGTTAGTCAAGGAGCAGTTATCTTGTCTTTTGACATAAATGCAGGACTAAGTTTTCTTCATCTAATCAAAACGATCCGTGTTGCATCTTTTTCTGAACAAACAATGTTCAAAAAAACTCACTTCCCCAGACAAATATAAATAACAATTTAAGGACCCATTCGCTTTAGACAAAAAGCCATGAAGAGCTGTGAATCACGTCCTTTGTATTTCACATCCAATTATAAGGTAACCAGCCCTTTTGGGATGCAGAACACAATCATTTTTAAAAAGGTACAGGAAAATGTGTATTCTAAAAACCTAAGTGTGGTACTTTGGGGGCTACAAAAGTTTACCATCATCATTTGTAGAGTCACCACCTTTCTTGCCAAATGTTCCAAGTGTTGGGGTACTTATCCTGCCTTTACAGAATGCTTGCTGAAAATATAGTCTTCGCATTCCAATACAAATAATTCTTTTGGTAGCAGACAAGTGCATTATAGCCCTTAGTCCAGGAACACCAGTCCTTTAAAATAAAGTTTTCAGTGTAAATCTGGACTACAGACTCCTCTTTATGCTGATCTGGTTGAAAGATCTAGTCACTGCTATAATATAAATAATAAAAATAAAATTTATTGAATGGTATTTCCACATCCCTCATATTTTTTTCTGAAGTTTATCTGACAGTTTATCTCCTGTTAAAAAATTAAAAAGACTATGCTTCTGTGTGGCACTCTGGAGAGCTGCAAGGACACATTCAGTAATAGCTTAAGAAGCAATCACATAGTAAACCAAGATAAACTCTCCGAGATAAATAAAACATCTATCAAATATTGCAGGAATTCTGTGTGGGAGAGACTGTCAAAATAATTCCAAATATTTTAGAAATCCAGTTAACTTGTACAACTTCACAGACAGCTCCTCTTAGTGACAATAAAACACATAGCACTTCTCAGAAGAACCCAGCACTCAAGGCTTGGGAAAGTTTCCAGACGAGAAAGACAATTTGTTCTTGTGAGAAGTCAGGTTTGCTGTCACTACACGCTTGACATATATCTGATGGCTCAGAAATGTGATGCCTACTGGCGTGATCTGGATAACACTTCTCTACTGTCTCACAAAATCAAAACCCTGTTCCCTGTGGTCTACCTCCCTCCTGAAGAGCTACTCCCTGGAAACAGCTGGAAGGGCTTACACCACAGACACTGCATCTCGCTGCCATACCCATTTCTTGCCTGCCTGCGTGTCACAGATGTGAATTAAATGAAGACTGCAAGAGCAATTTTTTTTTCTTTGTTTATTAATGAATGACAGAAGTAAGATGTTCACAGACATCTCTCCCCTTGAACTGGAGAAAGCATTAGACGAATGAGTAAATCAGAGCAAATAATTTATTTACATGTTTTAAGAAGATTTTATTTGTAAACTGTTGATATGAAGCATAAAAGCTGTACCTACATTTTGCCTAACTGCTTCAGGTTAAGAGCTCAAGGTGCAAAGAAAAAAAGAACAGCATGCCTTACTGCCTGCATTTATTAACTTAAAATAAACAAAGATAACATTTACTCTGCATTTAATGATATCACATGAGATTAGAACGATTCTGAAATGTGTTGAATTATTTTGATGTGTTATCAGCTGGCTCTGCTCAAGGGAGATTTCCCCAAGAGCATCAAAAGCTACTGCTTGTTGGTCTTCGGCAAGTGCTTTGTGGTGAATTTTGACTTACCAGCAGGCGTTCTTAGGAACCGCTGGTGTTTCCAGTATTTGAAACAACCCCTATCTTTTCTGGGGAATTGGGCCTTTTTCCTCCTAAGCCATTCCATTATTTCCTGTTTATAACGTATGGTAATGGCTCCTCCAAGGATACAGAGAAAAAGAAGAGCAAATAGTATTATTCCTATTCTCGCTCTTTCAAAAATCTCCCTGACTGAAGGGGGTCCACTGTCAATGCTCCCTCCGAATCCTGCCCTTTCACAGTACGGAGGAGCCCAGCCATACCTGCAGTGACAGTTCTTACGATTGTTACACACTCCTCTGTCATGACACTTTGTCATATTACAGTCATACTTCAGCACTGATATGCTGGTACATGTCCTGTTGATACAAAGCATATCAGTACCGCATGGTGTGCCATCTTCCACAGCCCCCACGTCAGCTATAGGGATCCCTACGTGATAGTCAAGACCCCAACACTTTTTATCTCCAACAGGAGTTTGGATGACTGTTACGTGGTTCTGCAAGAAAGGCAATTTTTTAATGTTTTCACACTGGATCCTACCACATAAGACATTCTCAATACTGCATTTTATAAAATGGATATTGTCACGAATACCGCAATTCCCAAACCGGTCCCCTCGCGTATTCACTGCTTTGAAGCAATCTAAAGGAGCGGCCCTGGCTTGGCTGCCAAAGAGATGCTGGCACTGTTTAGTATGAGAAGAACATTTTCCTCGATAGCAGTAAGCACCATCTTCGCAAGGGGTTCCATCTTGTGTGTACAAATCTGGTGGGCACCAAGGGGAGGTCCCGTTGCAATATTCTGGCAGGTCACAGTTGCCAGTACTTGCTCTGCAGAGCGTTCCTGCTGGAAGGACCTGACATCTCTTGCAGCATTTTCCAGAAGCACAAACTGAATTTGCAGTAAACGTACAGTTTGGGTTACAACAAGGATCCCTTCTGCAGACTGACCCACAGTCACATTGCTCCCCATGTTCTACTATCTTATTCCCACAGTATTCACGCTTCATGGTATAGTAAGTCCCGGGTGCTGGTGGTCGACGAATGCAGCCGGCACCATGCCCAAGCATGTCAAAGTAGTCTTTGTAACTGCAGTCACTGAATGCATCGGTGTCGGCATCGCTTTCATACATAATGCATTTCTTTCGTTTGCAGTGACAGCCTGGTCTATCATGGTTCATCCCAAGAGTATGGCCCAGCTCATGGACAAACGTGGTAACAAATGAGGACAACTTCCTATCAGTGAAGGAACCAACTGCTGATGACCACTGGTTATCACATATGGACCCTACATACGCCAATCCCAGGCTCTTTCCAAAGCTCTGAAATGCCAACAACTGAGAGACATCATGGCGGATCCGTGGAGACAGGTCTGACTTTCGCCACTTGTTGAAGTCATGAAGTACCTTGTTGATAGCACTAGTAATGTTTATAAGGTTGCTTTTGGTCCAAATCTCCAATCCCACAAGAAACAGCCGAACAGAAAGCTGTTCGTACAGAGAGTCCCCAGCGTTGATGACTTCCATGACTCGCCTCAAGACTTCAGATTCGTTCCTGCCCGACTTCACAAATCGCACGTTATCCACGACCACTACTATCTTCACGTATCTGACGTGCGTCCACCACTCCTCCACCCTCTGCTCCTCTTCCTCCTCCACCTGGGGGGCCTTCAACCAGGGCAGCACAGCCTTTTGGTGCTCCAGCTCCTCTGGGGTCAGCCCGCAGGTGGGGCCCATGGAGTTGTTGGCCTCCTCCATGTGGTAGAGGATGTGCCTGAAGGCCGGATCATCGGGGACAGGCTCGATCTCGTAGGTGCCATCCTCCACCCAGAGCACACCGCGAAGGCCCCTGCCGCAGGTGCTGAGGGCCACCAGGGAGTTGGGGCTCCCCTGCACCTCACCCTGGTAGAAGCAGTGGTCCTGCACAAAGGGGTGCTCCTCCCAGCGGGCCCCATCCTTGCCGTAGGTGACCAAGGTGAAGGGGCTGGAGACCAGGCCCCGCCGGCGCCGCAGGTGCAGC